CCAATGTTTTCATTGCATATTTTTTTTTTTTTTTTTTTTTTTTGGTTTTTCTCCGGTACCGGGAACCGAACTCACGACCTTGCACTTGCCAGGCAGGCGCTTTTTGCCGGGGTGTTTGAGACAGGGTCTCACTATGCAGTTCAGGCTACCTTTAAACTCACTGTGTAGCTCAGGCTGGCCTCGAACTTGTGGTAGTCCTGCATCAGCCCCCCGAGCACTGGGATTGCAGGCATGCAAATTACAACTACAGGTCTGGGCTACCAGGTCCTGCATAATTCTCACAATTTATGAAGGAGGCGATTTTACAGATGGGGGAACTAAGGCATAAGAGGTTAAACTTGCTAAGGTTCCCTAGTGAATAGAGTAGCCAAGATCAGACGCAGGTAGTCCGGCTCCAGGACCTGTGCAGTTTGGTGTTGCTGTGGTTGAAGTCCTGGGAATCGAACCCTGGCCTCCTGTGTGTTAGGCAGGACCCCGCCCCGGAGTTAACACCTCGGCCCAGGCCCGATGCCTTTAACTGAGGCATGCTGACTGAGAAGGTGGACCCCGTCAGAAAAGAGGGTCGGCCTCATTTAATCATCTAGCCAGCTTTCTAGATTGAGGTGGGCGTTGTACGAACATGCTAGGGGAACCGTTTGAAATTTAGGAGAAGGGAATTTTTATCTCCAAGATACGATCAGTATGAATTCAGAAGGAAGGTGGGCCTTGATTTTGAATTCAGGACATTGCCAGGAGTTTATAAAATGCAAAGCGTTTTGGATTTGGTCACGTCGATGCCTCATCTACCTCTCCCCACGCGTTCCGACGCCTGGTTTCCCTAGGTACGTCTAACGAAGTAGCCCAGTTTCTATCCAAGGAGAATCAAGTCATCGTGCGCATGCGCGGGCTGCCTTTCACGGCCACCGCCGAAGAAGTGGTGGCCTTCTTCGGACAGCACTGCCCCATCACTGGGGGGAAGGAAGGCATCCTCTTCGTCACCTACCCGGATGGCAGGCCGACAGGGGACGCGTTTGTCCTCTTTGCTTGTGAGGAGTACGCACAGAACGCACTGAGGAAACACAAGGACTTGTTGGGTAAAAGATACATCGAGCTCTTCAGGAGCACAGCCGCCGAAGTTCAGCAGGTGGGTTTCTTTCTTTCTTTCTTTCTTTCTTT